GAAACTATGAGCTGTTTCGCAGGAGAAAGATGAGGCTTTCTGTTCTCTTAAAGATTTACAGTCTCAGAAACCCTGTACAGGGTCGCTATGAGTCGGGACCGACTCCACAGCACACCACCACCACCACCACCACCACCATGGGTTGGAACCAACTAGATGGAGCTTAACAAAAACAACAACAATAAATTAATAAATAAATACACATATTTTAAGATGTGTAGGCTAACCATTCTGATGGGATGCAAATTTTAGAATGCAAATTGGAAATTAACAATTTCCTAGTGGAATTAACAAATAATTATCATGTACTTATAATTCACCGTGTCCAGCACAATGCTTATGCACAGCAAGCATTTAAAACTGAGTTGACTCACTGACCACATATGAATTCAAAGAGTGACAATTTAACTATGTTTTGTGTCAGTATGATTCTCCCTCAGATTCCTGGTGCAGCACAGATAAGCATTGGACTGGTAACCACAAGGTCAGCAGTTCAAACCCACCACCCACTCTTCAGAAACGTTGTATAGAATTGCTATGAGGCAGAACTAACTTAATGGCACTTAGCAACAATACTTCTCCCTCAGCATAGGCGTTTCATTTGGTGACAGATTCTTTTGCATGAGTATATTTGTATAGGTAAACAATCACCTCGAAGCAGTAATGGCAATGGCTAAAAGTACAGTTTCTAAATTTAAATCTAAAGTTTGGCTCCATAGCTTATTCACTATGTGATGACAATGCACAGACTACCAACTTCTCCTAGTCTCAGTTTCCTTACATGGACACTTTGCATAACAACAGTAACTTCTTCATAGGTTTGTGATGAATAGTAAATAAGATAATACATGCAAAATTCCTAGACTTATGTCTCACACATGGAAAGTGTTCACACATACAAATGCATACATATGCAGACTGGGTGAGTATACCAGGATGCTTATATTTCTATGTAGATAAATATCTGGTTCTCAATATACATTATTATTGAATAATAATCATATTACTAAAATATTGATGTTGTTGTTGTTGCTAAATGCCATCTAGTCAGGATCCAACTCATAGTGACCCTGTACAGGGTTTCCAAGGAGCAGCTGGTGAGTTGGAACTGCCGGTCTTAACGGCCCAAATTAACGTTGCAGTTTACTGCGTTAACTGGCAGTGCCCCACCAGAAGGCAGACCAGAAAATATTGGTAGTCAGTCATTAATAAATGTGCATTCTAGGCATTAGTTTAAGCATTTTATGTAGATGATTTTGTTGATTCTTGGGGGGAAAACCCTGCTATTTGACATAGATTAACATAGCATAGCATACTTTGGTTATTCCCATTTTACAGATTAGAACACTGAGATCCAGAAAGGCTAAGTAACTCATGTAACCACTAGTATACGACTGCTGCTAAGTGCCATTGAGTCTGCTCTGACTCATAGCGACCATGTATAGGGTTTCTCAGGAGAGGTTGAGGAGCTTGAGCCCCGACTTTGAGGTTCAAACTGACCTTGCAGTCTCCATCTTTGTTGTTGTTAGGTGCCATCGAGTCAGTACCGACTCATAGCAACTCTATGCATAACAGAATGAAACACTGCCTGGTCCTGGACCAACCTCACGATTGTCGCCACACTTGAGCTCATTGATGCTGTCACTGTGCCAATCCATCTCGTTGGGATCTTCTTCTTTTTATCTGACCTTATCATCAAACATGATATCCTTCTCCAGTGACTGGTCTCTCCTGACAATATGTCCGAAGTACACAAGATGAAGTTTGGCCATCTTGGCCTCAAAGGAGCACTCCAGCTGCACTTCTTCCAACACAGATCTGTTGGTTCTTTTGGCATCCCATAGCACTTTCAATATTCTCCTCCAACTCAAAAGCATCAATTTTTCTACGGTCTTCCTTAGTTACTGTCCAGCTTTTGCATGCATATGAGGTTATTGAAAATACTGCAGCTTGCAGTCTCCATAGAGCCAGGAAATCTGGCTCTTTTAATCATTGTTACACTACCTTCTGGAGTCCTGGTGTGGTGCAGTGGGTTAAGGTGCTGGAATGCAAAGTCGTTTGAACCACAATGTTGGCAGCTCAAGCTTACCAGCTGCACCTCAGAAACCCTATACATGGTTGCGATGGGTCAGAACCAACTCAATGGCACTTAACAACAACAACAATATACTACCTTCTAACTATATTTACTATTTCTGAATATTACTTCTATACTCCCTACTATCTTAATTACTATGATATTTAATATTTTATAAAATACTTTCATTGAATCTGATAACAAACCTGTGTATTCAGTTAGGATTATTATTCTCCCTTTATATGAGAAAAAACTGGAAGAGCTTAAATCATGAGTGTCTTTTTTGTGAAAGTATTAGAATCATTCATATAAATGTACCCAGTGTTTAAAATGTGAGAAGCACAGGCATCCATCTGTAGGAAAGTTGGTGCTGGGAATACAAACACAGAGCTTCCCTGAAAGTGTTACAGTTCAGTGGGAGAGACAAGTATGGAAGCCAAAAATCCTGGTATACAATATGTATTCTCTAAGGGAGATATGAAAAGAGTGCTCACAGAGCACAGAAAGAGGGACCATCTGTCCCAGGGAGGTCTTTAAAGGCAAAGGTGGAAGGGGGGTTGTTCTTAGAAGACAGTATGGCATGTGTGAGGGTCCACATTTGTGATTATCACCATGTGCCTAAGCATGACTATGTGAGGATCTGAGCGTGAATCTGATTACACGTGCTTGCCGATCCATGCATGAATGTAGGTCCACGCAGTTTGTAAGTGTAGAAATGAGTACATCTGAACATAAATAGGATGTGTCTGGATCCACACACACACCACAGCAGAATTGGCTCAATCCTAATATGTGTATGTGACAAACACATACACACAACATCAGCATAACCAGAGATACCAGTCTCCTTCCACGCTAGCAGTTGCTTCCTGAGCTATGATGATTAGACCCACTAGGTTTTTCAATGCGTCATTCTGAGTATTTAGTGGTCTAATAGAGCCAGTCAGTTAGGGTGAGTAATGAGGGATGAAGAGGTACAGGTGGGTATCTGTGGATCTACATCATTGTGCACAGTTATGGTGTATATGAATGCTTAGTATTGGCTGCTTCCCTCACTTCTTTACTATCTTGGGGAGTTTATCCACTCACCTGTTTCTATTGCCACCTGTATGGATGTGACTGACTTCTGTCTCCATGTAAATGTCTTGGGGACTTTGAAAATGTTCCTCCATGCTGGTGCTGGTAAGGGCAACTGGAAAGTGGAGGGGCCCCTTATTCTGTGGAGGTAATTCCTACTCTTCCTACTCCCACCCCATTCTGGTCTAGGAATCTCCTGTTGTTGTTGTTGTTAAGTGCCATCGAGTCGGTTCAGACCCATAGCGACCCTGTACAGGGTTTCCGAGGAATCTCCTAGAGGATGAAAAATGTTTACAAAGGCCAATAGTGCTTGCGCCTGCCATGAGGAGCACAGAAGGTCACTCTAGGGATGGGCTGCTCAACACTCATGATCAGAGCTGTTTTTATGACAAAATTGATAAAGGAAGGAAAGTAAGGACTCTTTTCTCCAAAAAGATTCTCACAGGGATCAAGGAGTAAAGCTACAATATTCTCTTATATTTTAAGTTTATCCAATCAAATAAGCTAAAATGATTGCAAGTAGTATGTTGATGGTGGCTAGCAGGGTCTCTATAAAGTGACAAAGATCATTGAACTGGATTTCCCCTTTTTGATTTACAAATTCAGGACCTTGAGGTTGTGTAAGGTAAAGGCTGAGTACACTAGTGATTTGTGTGTGTTTACATCCCAGCCCAGTGTACTGCCATGCAGCTGGTGTGTTCGTATGTTAAGAAAGGCAAGAATGAAGCACAATGGTCAACACATGTAATATGCCAATTTTAACTTGAATGAATGAGTAGGTGAAGGAAAAAACAAACACACTCTGAAAAGTAGAATGGCCTCAATAAGTGGTTCCTGAAATGATGAAATCTTGATTCTGCTCTCAGTTCTACCATTAACTTAAATGAATCTACTCTTACTTATTGAGAAATTAATCCAGCCGCAGAATATTTCTCAAAAATATTAATAGGCTTAATCAAGTCTCATAGCAGTGTATTTTAAAATGTATAAATGATCACTAATAACTGTTAGCTGCTGTATATCCTAATACTTTATATTCATTGTAGCACTTTGCATATTATATATTCCCATGTTTGCACACAAATATGTTCTTCAACATTAAGGAAAGATACTGATTTTGTGATATGCCAGGGAAATTTTTCCTCCGTCAATATGGTGTTTATTTGGATTTAAACACTGAATCAATAATCTGAAAAAGAGAAATTGTCTGATTATGGCTAGAGACTGTCTAGAGGCTAAGATTTCCATCATGGGCTGCTTTCAACTGTTATATTTTATGGCATAGATTCAGTGGGAATCTGATCTGCTAAAATATTTGGGCTGTGAAAACTCCCACACTGTGACAGATGTCAAGTCCAATTAAGTGACTCATGTCCAGGTTTCTGTCCAATAGGATTTCCCATTAAATATCAATTTGGGGAAGAAAATTCCATCCCCCTTCTTAAGCCTTTATCTCTTCCACCATCTCTAGGCTGAATCAATTGGTACCAGGAGAGCCAAGAAGCCACACACGCATCTCTGTTTCTTTGCTCTGGGCTCTCCCTCCCTCTCCCGTCTTTCTCAGCTTTCCGGGAGACGTTCACTTTTCATCTACCTTTCTCCAAGCATCTCCAAGCCACTGACTATATATTTTACTACAAGGTAAAGAAAGGAGGGGGTGGGATGGGGGATGTAACCAAGGCTTGAAAGACTTTGAAAGTGGAAAATAGGTGTCTGTTTATACAACATACAAGTAAGAGAGGGAAGAGGAAGAGGCGACCTTAGCCCTGAGTAACAGTATTGTGTTCCTGGGAACTGGGGAGACATCAGCTGAACAAAGCCTTATCTCAAAAAAAAAAAAAAAATCACTTCTGAGCAAGATCGCATCTCTGTCCTGCACTTCTCAGTTTCTCTCAGCCTATTAAAGGGAAGGAAAGGAACCCTACAGGAGCGGGATCTTGTCTTAACCATCTTTCTTCTAGATTCTTACGCTCTTAGAAAGTGGAGGAACCAGCCCTTTGATGTGAAGGTGTTTATCTCTGCATATCTTTTGTTATTTATAGAGACCTAGAAGAAGAGGAAAGGTTCGGGGACTGTCAACACATCCATTAAAACAAAACAATACAAAAACCGACAACGAATTTCTCGAAATGTTCGAAAACAATTAAAAGGAAAAAGGCGTTTTTGATCTATCAACTAAGTGAACAATCATTCATACCGTCCACATCCTGAGATAGTATCATCCCTGGCTGTGGACGCCAGAGATGACAGCTGCTTTTTCATTGCTGAATGTAAAAAATATTTGCTGCTTTTAATATTTCCTGGAATTTCTCCCTGATATTCCCTGGAATTTTAACTCTAAAAGATTGGAGAAAAGATTATCAAAAAGGCTTTTACAAGGTAAGGTTCCTTTTAATTTTTTTTTAACAGCTTGAAACTGTTAAATTGTTCATTCATATTGCATTTATAATACAGGCATTTCAGTTGATTGTTAAATAAACAAAATGCATACAGTACATACTACTTACGAATATTTTAGAAAGATTATGTAGTGGAGAATTTAACAGGCGTTTGGGGGTTGGGGGTGGCAACCCAGGAACTTTTTATCCGAGCTACAACTATGTCAAGGTTTACTGTGATTTTCCATTACTAACATACTTGTTTATGCCCGTCCAAGTCAATGTGTAGGTGCAAGCTGTTCTACTTATAAGCGTATCAGCGAAAAGCCTGTAGGGAGTCACGTACAGTTCACTTAGAGCATTTGTTTTTATTTTGCCTTAGAGGACCTGTTCTCCGGGTGGAGAAACGAAAGCTGTTTTGAAGCCAGGCTCACTCCAAAGCAAGTGTATTGCTGGGAACTGGTCACACCTACCCTTGCTTTTGTTTCTCTAGGAGCAAATCCTTTTACAAGTCGCGGACGCGGATTTCTCCCGCGACGAGCATCGCTCGGGCGACACACGCCAAGGTCCGGGCTTTGCACCTGGTCCTCCTTCCTGGGGCCTGCAGTCGGGGGGCACAGCACCCGTAGGCACCTTTTCCCTTTGCTGGCCCCGATTTTCACTGAAGTATAGGGATTCTGAGCGGGCTCTGCCCTAGAAGGCGCGCAGTTGGAGCCCGTCCTCCAAGAGCCCGGGGAGGAACCTGGAGAGGTGACCCTTTTGGCTGAGCATCATTAGAGGAACTCTTAAGACAGTCCGCTCGGCCTTTGCAGCTGCGGGCTCCCCAGCTCCGGTTCCGGGAATGCCCGAACTTTGCCTAAGGAGAGGCAGTTGGGCCTGAGAGACCCGCGCGGAGCCCGCCTCTTCCCGCCGTGCTCCCTTCGGTTCCTTCCCAGCTTCTCCTCCAGCACGCGCCGGCCGCCGGCATTTTCCCGCGAAGTGGTGGGCTGACTGTGCGGCGCATTGTTTTCTCCCACGCCGCGGCGCGTCTCCAGGTCCCCAATGTGTGTTGTTGCCTGCGTGACAGATGGTGCCCCAGGAGCCTGCAAGGGCTCACGAGTTAATTTTCTGTCCAAAGTAGTCTCCACGTTTGTATAGCCATTTCTTAATATCATGGAGAAGGGCGAGGATGTCTTCCCGTTTCTGGCCTTTTGATCTCAGAGCTGGGGTTCCTTTGGGTCCCCACCCCAGCGCCGGATCCCTGCGCGACCTCCCCAGTTCCTACGCGCCCAAAGCGCCCCATACCCGCGCGGGGCTGCCGGGTGCGGCGATTCTCAGACTGCTTTGCCGGGAAGCCCTCGGGGTCGGCGGTGTACTCACACCTGGTCTCCCCTCCCTCATTAAAACCCCGATGTAGTCTTCCTGCAGAATCATTCAGTTTTCATGGAAGAGGAGGGAATGAGGGAAGCGGGATCGTAGAGTTGGTATTTGGCCAGAGGAGGCACAAAACCCGAGTCGCGGCCTCGCAGCGGTCCCGGGACCAGGCCCACAGGCCGGCCTTGGCCTCCTGAAGGTCAAGGGGTTGAGCCCAGGATGAGGCCTGGTGAAGCGGGAGCCGAGGAGAGGCGCGGGGCTCCAGGCCTCAGGCCCGTTCTGCTGGGTCCCCTGCCTGCGGTTGCGGCCACCTCACCTCGGCCGGGCCACCAGCTTGGTGTGGAGAGGGGGCCTGGGACTCCTGGACCCGGCACCGGTAAAGTCCCTCCTCGCTCCCGCCAGCAGGGTGGGCGTGGTAGACCCGTGCCCACGTTCCCTAGTATCAAAAGGGGTGCCTGGTTCCTTTTATTGATTGATCTTCTGACTCCCCCTCAGCCTCCAAAATGATGCTGAGTCCAGACCAAGCCGCCGACTCGGACCACCCCAGTTCGGCGCACTCAGACCCGGAGTCGCTGGGTGGGGCGGACGCCAAGGTGCTGGGCAGCGTGTCGGACCTGGAGCCGGTGGAGGAGGCCGAGGGCGACGGCAAGGGAGGCAGCCGGGCCACGCTCTACCCGCACCCACAGCAGCTGAGCCGCGAGGAGAAGCGCCGCCGCCGGCGCGCTACGGCCAAGTACCGCTCGGCCCACGCCACCCGCGAGCGCATCCGCGTGGAGGCCTTCAACCTGGCCTTCGCCGAGCTCCGCAAGCTCCTGCCCACGCTGCCCCCAGACAAGAAGCTTTCCAAGATCGAGATCCTGCGCCTGGCCATCTGCTACATATCCTATCTCAACCATGTCCTGGACGTGTAGGGCCCGGGGCGCCGCGGGAGGCAGCCGGGCGGGCGTCTGCGAAAGGCGAACGCCACCAACTGTGGCGGCCGCCGCGGGGACCACGGAGGAGGAGGCGGCCCAGCGCGGAGGCGGGCGCGAGAGCCTTGGACCAGGAAGGAAGCTCGCCAAGTGTTCTCTCTGGTCAGCGGGGCAAGGAGGGAAGGTTTCTGACCCAGGCAGGAGGGAATGTCTGGGTAGCCCTGGGGTTTGTTGGGGGCATTTTCCAGGTCCTGCGAACCTCCAAACGACCCTCGAAAGGAACTGCCTCCGGACCTGGCCTCCATGTATTAGGATCTCATCCAAGGTTGATGCTTTAGCTCACTGGAGACCGAGTTCTTCTATACTAATCTCCTACGAATGGTCATGTTATGAAAGAGTTAGGGCAGAAGCTTTGAATCAGATTTCCAATTTTAGAGTAAGTGGGATTTTTCTAATCGACAAATCAGCAAACATTCTGGAAGGAAAGATCGCTTTCAGTAGGAGAGATTTAAGGCACAGCTAGGTGGAACAGGAAACTTTTTGTCTGTTCTGTTGTGAAAAGCAAAGTTATATTAGAATTCAAACACAACAGACAAACCCTAAATATTTGGTAAGGTCAAAAAGCGATGTTGAATGAAAATAGACACAATGTGGGAAGATTTGAGTTCGGGGAGATTTTAATCCCAAAATATGACACCAATGTAGACAGGACTATCCATATTTAAATGGAAAATTTAATATCGGATTGCTTTTTCAGGCAAAGTGCCCCTTTATATATCCAAAAACCCCATCTATTTATGACCTTAAACACGTGGACCCATAGGTGCAGTTAGAAAAAGACAACCTATTTTTATTTATGTTAGAAGAAGTAGAGTATTTTTTTCAAAACGTTTATTTTTCAGAGTGGTGATAATTTTACTTTGTATACTCTGTGCCAATTTATTTATAGTCAAGTGTTTACACTTTTTCCTGTGGAATAATTATGTCCAACTTTCTAAGTGTTTGTTGAGATTATACTGTGGTCTTTCTTTTTGCTCTAATTATATTGCACTTGTATAACAAATTTCCCACTTCTCCCCGTTTCTAAACATATTTTATATATTAAGATGTTTGTTCTTGAAAAGGTCCTTTTGTTGTGAGATCAGCAACACTAGCACTTCACTATTATAGTTTTTTAAAAAGTAAATGTTGTTATTCTTATCTGTAGTTATGTCTGAAAAGTACAAAACTGTTGATAAGGAGAGTAGCTTCTGTATGTGTGTGTGTGTGTGTGTGTGTGTGTGTGATCTTTGTGCGTGGGATGATTTTAGGAAATTAAGTTATTTTCCTAAAAAAAAAAAAAAAGAAGAAGAATTCAGAACTACTTTCCTCTGTGACAACCAAAAAGAAAAATCTATAACCTGAAAATGTTTCATGTTCTCAGCTGTGAAACTCTTAAAACAAGGAGTGTATTTTAGAGACAAGGGAAAAAAAAAAAAAAAGAAACAAACAAAAACACATCTGCTATCCAAAGATTTTAGTCTTTTTCAGGGTTTTTTTGTGTCTCTGTTGCTTTATATAATGCAATATTTTGTAGTGAAAATAGATATAATCTGGTTTATATCTGACAAGTTTTTCATATCTCATGAATGGTGCGCTGTTTTGCATATAAATAAAGGTATCAAATAAAGTTCTCTCCTTTATTTTAACAACACTGTCTAAAAATAATGAACACATTGACTGAGCAAGAAATGACTTAATGGACTCACTTCCTCAGAAAGAAGTTTGTTAAAAAAAAAAAAAGAAGGAAAGAAAAAGCAAGCTATTATATAAGCATACTTATGTATTAGGATATTAAATGTTCTTTCTAAAGTTTTACATGGAGCAATCATAAATAGATGTCCCATATATAATGGTGACATAAAGCATGCTATTCTCAATAATAATAAGAAAGTATATTGTTTATGGTGTGGCACTATCGGATAAACTTTGAACTGCTCACCACAAAGTTGGTGGTTCAAACCTACCAGCCTTTCTTTGGAAACTGTATACAGGGTTGCTATGAGTTGGAACCAATTCGATAGTACTTGAATCATAGATTCTTGTGCTGTAAAAGGGACTCTAGAAACTCAATTTGTTCAAATTAGAGTTGGAAAATTGAGGTGCAACGATTCTAGGTGTCTTTTGCTAGGCGTGAAATGACAGTAAAAAGAAGCCCTCTATATGATGACTCCCAGGAGTCCTGGTGTGGCGCTGTGGGTTAATGTGCCAGATGGCAAAGCCATTTGAACTGCAAGGTCGGTGGTTCATGCTCACCAGCTGCTCCTCGGAAACCCTATACAGGGTCACTATGGGTCAGAACTGACTCGATGGTACTTAACAATATGATGACTCCCAGTCCTCTTGGGACATATTAAGAACAAGTTGTACATTGCTAGTGTAAGACTCAGACATTTAATCAGGACAGATTCAGGACATGACACTTGCAAATAGGAAAAAAGAAAAAAAAGCCCAGAACCAGCCTTAAGGTATGAAGAATATCTCGTACAAAAGTCCCCAGCTAGTTTATAAATGTGAACTACTCATGTGTATATAAGTAGAAGACGTTGTTAGGTGCCATTGAACCAACACCAACTCATAGCAACCCTGTGTACACCAGAATGAAGGCCAACTTCACAAACCTTGTTACCCCTGAGCCCATTGCTGCTGCCAGTGTACCAATTCATCTCGTTGAGAGTCTTCCTCTTTTTCTCCGACCCTCCACTTTACCAAACATGATTCTTCTCCAGTGGCTGGTCCCTCCTGCCTTTATGAAGTATGAGTGATGAAATCTGGCCATCCTGACTTCCAAGGAGCACTCTGGCTGCACTTCATCCAACATAGATCTGTTTACTCTTTTGGCAACCCTGGTACTTTCAATATTCTCCTCCAATACCATAACTCAAATGCATCAATTCTTCCACAGTCTTCCGTATTCACTGTTCAACTTCTTGCATGCATATGAGGTTGTTGAAAATATCATGGCTTGGGTTAGTTGCGCCTTGACCTCAAACTGACATTTTTGCTCTTCAACGCTTTAAAGTGGTCTTGTGCAGCAAATCTGCCCAGTGCAATACGTCATTTGATTTTTTGACTGCTGCTTCCATGAGTATTGATGGTTGACCTGAGCAAAACAAAGTCATTGACAACTTCAATCTTTTCTCCATTTACATGGATATTGTTGATTAGTCCAATGGTGAGGATTTTTGTTTTCTTTACATTGAGATACAACCCAATGTTGTGGTCTTTGATCTGCATCAGTACGTATTTTAAGTCTTTTTTGCTTTCAGCAAGCAAGGTGGTATCATCTGCATATTATGTGTCTGCACATCACTAACTTATATCTGTTGAACCACAACACTAACATACTGAGTCTATATCACGCCAAATCTTTGACTGCATAATACAAAATGAAATTATCTGGATGCTTGGTTTCATGCATATAAAATATACATGGAATTGGAACATTTTTCATTTTTCATGCAGGTATCTTGAAATTAGCTTCACAGATATCCTAGGAAAGCGCTTCCTAGGACATGAAAAAGAATGGTTCTGTCCTTTGCTTTGTATTGGGATGACATTCTGACTATTAAAGCAATGACTGGGAATGCTCTGGTCTGTAAAGATGTGCTTTCTATGGCACTGAGTGTTTGTACGGTTTCTCTTTTCCAGGCAGTGGGGAGAGAAGACTCCAGTCCTCATGTTGTTGTTATTAAGTGCCATTGAATGTTCCAACTCATTGAAACCCTACATAGGGTTTCCAAGGAGTGGCTGGTGGGGTTGAACTGCTGACCTTGAGGTTAGCCGTCCAGTGCTTATCCTACAGCACCACACCAGGTCTCCCCAGTCCTCAGTGTATTTCTTTATTACATGATAGAAGAATTAGCCCTGCTCCAGTGCTGAAAATATGAAGTCAAATTCCAACCTCTGCAATCTTTCAAGTGTTTCCCTTGTCTAGTTTATGAGCCCTACTGCCAACTGACCAACCATGTTACTGAGACAAATAAGCATAATCCTATTCACATCTGTTGTTGTTGTTGTTAAGTGCTATCGAGTTGAGTTGGTTCCAACCCATAGCGACCCCATATAGAGTGAGGAGTGGCTGGTGAGCTTGAACCACTGACCTTGCAATTCAAACTGACATTGCAATTCAGTGCATTAATCCACAGCGCCACACCAAGAGGGACCTATCCATTCACTTCACTAGACAAAGGACAATTGTACTTGGCATTGGACAGTGGGCAGCCTGGGACATGGGACACCATCACTTCCCAGCTATACAGCCCATGGGAGCCCAAGGGAGGATCTTAGCAATGTTATTTCAAACCCCAAGCAGCTGAGTTTCCTCCAAAGAGGAACGTTGCACTGTGAGATTGCTAGATCAGAGGGCAACTGACACATTCCTTGCACAAACTCGGTGACACAGGGCAAGGGACTAATGCTTAGTGTCTGAATAAAGCTGATGTGAGCATTCATTCTTACATTCAACAAATATTTATTGAGGACCTCCTATGTGCTTCTAGATGCTAATGATAGAGCAATCAACAAGACGAAGTCTCCTGGAAAAGTACAGTAGACTGACAACCAACAGTAGCTCATTTCAGGTGATGATAAATGGGGGTATCTGGGTGGTGCAAATGGTTAACGTGCTCACCTCCCAACTGAAAGGTTGGAGGCTCAAGTTCATCCAGAGGCTCCTGGGGGGGAAAAAGTCTAGTGGTCTACTTTTGACAAATTATCCATTGAAAACCCTATGGAGCACAGTTCTCTGACAAACTTTGGGTGGCCATTAGTCAGAGCCAACTCAATGACAACTAGTTTACAGATGAGTGAAGAAAAATGAAGCAGAATAAGGAAACAAAAAAGGGTAGCAAGAGGTGCTGGGGGTGGGTATTAGGCTACATTGAGTTTTTAGGGCAAGGCCCTCTGAAGAGGAAAGCTCTGAGTGAAAACTTAAATAAAAAGTCAGGATCTTTGTGAAC